CAACAGCGAGAGCTGATCGCTCGGGCCAGAAAAATAGCGGTAGCCTGCGGGGCCCTGGACGTGGGGACCTGAACCTAGGGGGGGAAACCCCACAAATCAGAAACAATTAAAAGTTTTTACCACCACCACCACCACCACCAACAAGCGGCCACGTGATCTAGAGCCGATTATATGCCGCCAATGTTGATCATAGCCACGCGCTGGGGTTGGTAAAGCACAGGACACGCGCTGAGTTCCAGACATTGTTATGGCTCGGCTGTTGTCGTCGTTGCAGCGATTGGACACGGGCCACTACCCGAATGCTTCTAAAGCTAGCAATTATCACGAGCCCAAATCGAGTGCGCACGCAATTCTCGGATTCAATCTATGAACCGCATTCAAATATCGTCCTTGGGGTGTACTGCGATCCCCACGTTAAGTCATCAAATTTTGCAAAGGAGAGATTGAATGAAAATTATCGCTTTTGTCCTTGAAATTACACCGCAACAAAGGAGTTTCTTAGCCAGTGGCGTTCCGTGTGAGTATCCTCGAGTCCCACTCGAGGATACTCACACGGAAAGCCACTGGCTAAAGAACTCCTTTGTTGCGGTGTAATTTCAAGGACAAAAGCGATCATTTTCATAGTGCCAGTAAGCTCGTGTAAAGTGAAAAACATTCCAATTGAATATCGGTTCACCGCCCCTTTAAAGGCAAACACAATTTCGACAATTCACGAAAAAGCAACGAGGTTCGCAAGTTTTATCGTAAAAGTTTGCCTTTCTTCGCTTGATTCAGAAACCGCGTTATGAAAATAATATGTAGAATAGTGGACATAGACGTCTTGATGTGTGGCGCCGGCGAGTCCACCAAAGACACGCTGTCGAGCTAGTGACGAGGGGACAGAAACAACTGTGTCATTTTTCTACGCATCAATATCAGCACAACCTCATTCGCGCTTTCAGCGCCCGGTTATTTAATTAAGTGAAGAAAGGCAAAATTTTAGCGATGAATATCTCAGGACAGAACGAGCGGGTTGGTAGAGATATTTAAGCTTGAGGAAGAAAACGAGAAAGGACGGACAAACCAACAAAAGCGAGCGCCTTGTTGCTTTCGCTCAAAGCTCGTTGTTTGTTCGCGAACTTTCTAAAGTGGGTTGGCCTTTAACAATGGCTCCCTTTAAAGCTGCAATTGCAACATGGCCCATTAAACCGTTCATTAACCCTTTGCCTACCGCAAAATTTTCAAAAAAGAAAAGATTTGAAAATACCGATTTTTTATGTACCCTGTACTCTGTTTCACCTTGTGTTGTACTGCAGGAAAGCCTACAAGCGCGAGCTCCTTGCTCTAGGGCACATTTCGGCGGCACAAGCTCTCGTGCACCAAGGGCAGCTGCCAACGCTATGAGCTCGCGCTTCTAGCCTTGGCTGCGGTACAACATAAAGTGAAACGGAGTGTATAAAATCGTGGTACCGACACGTGCACCGCTCAAAGTAAAAAAAAAAAAAAAAAAAAGGCGGGCTGCGCGTACCGGATAACTCGACTACAGCGCCGCCACGAACTGTCAGTATACACGCGCCCTCACGAGCTCCCGTTGCCGAGCCGCTCCGGTCCCAACACTACCCAAGTATTCTAGTACACTGTACTACTGTGCTGCGAAACAGGGTTGCCACTGGTGGCTACTTTTCGCCAAGTTGGCTACTTCTGGGGGCGCTTGGCTGCCGAAAATTACGCTTGGCGATAAGGCGAATTTTTGGCGACTTTCGACCTCCCGTTGCGACTCTCGACAGTATCGCACATACACGTTTCCGGGCCAAAGCGCGCTCGTTCTACAAGTTGGGTTCATGTGCTAAAGACAACAAGGCTGACTGAAAAAAATAAAGAATTAACATTTTTACTGCTTTTGCAGTATGAGGATCGATAAGAAGTGCATAGTTTCGGTTCCTTACTCGCGCACTGGATAGCCGCTGCCCGCTGTGTTCGCCGTGGTTATTGGCTGCATACGCACGAAACCAATTAAGTCTGATGCTATTGGTTGAGCCGCTATAGCAGCACTGACCGCTGTGGTTTCCCACGGGAGCTAACCGAACAAGCGAATTTAAAGCCCCCGTTTTCTTATTAAATTCGAGAGCCCTGGGGAAACTTACTTGTCGCGCGAAACTATCTCGTCATTCCGTCTCTGCCCCTCTCCTCGTCCTCCTCCTCGTTTTCCGTTCCCCTGTAATTGGCTGTTGCTCGTCGGGTTGGGGGGGGGGGGGGGGGGGGGGGTGAGTGAGGAATCGATTCTAAGGGGTTGTGTACGCCAGCAGGTACTGCAAAGACCACTTCCGATATCCGTTTGGTGTCGTGTGGGTAGTCCGTGATCGTCCCAATATAATTGTTTTGTTATGTTGCATTTTCTTGGCCCGTTGCTTTCATGTTTTGACGGTTCATTACTATTACTAGTGTATTTGCGCAGGTGTCTAAGTATTATAACCTAGACGATAGAAGGGCGCCTTTATTTGGAGCGCCGAGTCGACGACTCTAACTCAAGATTCCCGTGTCGTATTGCAGGGTTCTTGATAGTTCGGGCTCTTTACCCATATTTCATCAAATTGTGTTTGCTCATTCCAGAGATGAGGGGTTGTTCTTTTGTTAGTAAATATTATCATAAATATTTGAACGGATATTTTAACATAACTACATGGCTTAAAACGCCACTGTGACAAGTATCTTGATCTCCACAACCCCCCCCCCCTCTCTCTTACTTTGTATCTGAGGGGGGCGCTTGGACAATGGCAAAGCACGCTAATGCGAAAAACAAAATCCACGACGAATGGCTGCGGGACAAGAAACTTAAAGGTATGCATTGTGCATTGTCAAACATGAGGCTTAGTTTCTTATATATGAGTTCAGGGAAATTTTAGGGGACTTCACATCTACGTTTCGGCATTTGTATATTTTTGGCCACATAATTAATAGATCGAAGTAATTGGCTTCCCGAGTGAATAATAATTAATAACTTTACATGCTCGGTGAGAATGGTGGTGTGATAAGGGATGTTACATGTAAAAGACCGAACTTGTCTGACTGACTGATCGTGTGAGATTTCCAGTGGACTCAATATAAGCAAATAATTGACTGGTATTTGTTTGAGGGAAAACGCTTGGGGGAGGGGGGACTGTATACGGGGTCGTGTGGGATGTTCTAACTTTTTTTTAACGATTAACTGAACGTGGAGTAGCCGGCCAAGCCTTCACGGCAGCCAACATATCCGATTTTTTTTTTTTTTTTTCATTTAATAAAGAAAGAGAAACAAACAAAGAGGCTTCACTATAATCTCTGCAATCGTAGCTTACAACACATTTCGGACTGGTGTCTAGCGCCCTTTACTGCACGGGCATCCAAATCCGGCCCAAAATAGCGGCAGATATGTTATGGGAGTAGCCGAGGAACGCTATTTATTGTCGCGATCCTGGCGGTTGGTTGCAGGAGAACCAAAGACGACGACCGAATACCGCGGCGTCGCTGCTAGTAATTTTGTTGCAATCTGCGGGCTGACTAGCTGCCGTGGCGACCGCGAGCAGACGAAATGATTTGGTTCGATGACACACAACATGAACGATCATTCAAGTCCAAATGACGCAGACACCACCTACCTTTGCGGTCGTTCAGACACTTATTACTCTACCTAGCTTCGCAGGTCTTTAAATTCCGACCGGTAAATGTTACGTCGGCCGTCTTGTTTTAATCAGTCGTAAGCTGGAAACACGGGCCGCCGCGGTTTCGCACGCTGCAGAATGTTTCAAGGGGGCGTTGCCGATCAAATGCAATCATCACCATTGTTTACACGGTTGCGCCAGTTTTACGATTCGCTAAGATACGTTACATTTTACGTACGGTTTGACAGGAGGGACCGGCTGCACCGTTCATGATTTCGGAACCATGTGCTCCAAAAACGACTCGCTCCGTAATAGAGAGTTTTAGGGAAGCGTTTCTTGCACATTCGATACAGTACGATGTTCCCTCCGGTACGAACTGCGCATGTGCCAGTCTCCTGCGGGAGCACATGCGCAGTTCGTACCGGAGGTTTACCGGATGTGCAAAAAAGGTTCCCTAAAACTCTCTAGCATCTACAGAGCGCAACATAACATGAACAAGCGATCGTCACTTGTTTCGTTTTCTTTTGTTTATCTAAGAGTTGAAAGTCTGCAATTAATACTAGCGTAGTGTGAAGGGAACCATGCCCTGTTCTTGCTGTTCCATGGAGGCCGCCTATTACTGCCAACGGCAAAACTATGACACAGTGAGTATCCATGATTGCGTCGCGTAAGGTCGTCCACAGATCACAATGTAGACAAAGCGGTAAAATGTCGAACTCCTCAGTACCCTGTGTGAATAACATGCGAAAAAGGGCCGCTGCCGCGTTAGCATTAACTGCGTCGTGCAGTGTACGTCAAATTTTGAATCTGTACATAACCTTGTTACTTGATCGACTGCACATACCGCAATAAAGCTGTCTTTTATATTGGCAATTATACAAAGAAAATCGAAGATGCAACATGTAAAACATAAAATTCAAAAGTTATTCCTCCATGGCATGGCGTCCTTTAAGAAAGGAAGGAACTCAAACCATAAGAGAACGTCTGCAATTGAATGGCGGATGCCTCGCGCATATTGGTCACCTGTGCGCATGCGCGCGCTGTCGCATGGCGAGGAGGATGGCGGTCGGGCGTAGGGGTGGACTCGCGAGGCATTGCAGACGAGGACCAAGTTGAATAGGGGCCCTGCTGCAGACATTCAATGCTTTCGTCAACTCCGACGCATCTTGTAGTGCGAAAGCACCCCCAAAACCCACGTGACCCCATCGAGCATGTGAAAACACTCAAATCTAAGCATGCATATCTGCCCTGTGTAAAACGCTGCGGCCAAGTGTTCGTGTCCACTATCGCGTTCACACTGACTGCACGACGATAAGTTTTCTTTCAGCTGCAGGATCTGCGCAAAAGATAACCGGGCTGCCGTATAAGTAAAACCCAACAAGATTCAGTGACGTGAAAGCTTTATAAAGTCCGTATATTTTGAAATCTCAAACTAAAATTCGCGCACTATCAACTTAAAAAAAATAGTATATGGTGCCGTTTTATTGTGCAGTCTGTAATACAACCAAAGCTTCATACTTAAACGCAGGCAGTGAAATCATTAAAACCTAAGATTTAACACAATGCACCCCGTTATCTTAGTAAAAACAAATAAATGAACGTGTCCAATAAACATACGAGAAGATATCATATAAGAACTTATTCGTTATATATTCTATATAACGTGTTATATGTTTATCAGACAAATCATATATGAAGTTTTCTATCTTTTTGGCCTGTGACTAAGAATCTTGAAGCCACAACGCAAAACAAAATCAGCTAAGAGACAGTTACACAACTCTCTGTTCCACGTACTTTATAAATTGCGAATGGAGTGCAGTGCAAGCGATCTTGTGGAACAAGTGTTAAAGAATATCTATAGAATGCAGCAGCTCTTTCACATTGAACGTTATGGTGACATAGAAATTTCTCGAACATGTGGAAGTCACCTCACAATTCTAAAGTCTTGTAATGACAACCGGTATAAAATACATAACAGAATATGTCGTTCATCAAAGGCACAAGTTGGTTAGCACAACACATCTTCAAACCAAAAAGTCATGGGCAAGCCACCGGACTCACCGCAATGACTGGACGTCGTTGATATGTCTAACGATAACATGGTCGCCTTCCAATATTTGAAATATTGAAGAAGGCTTAAAAATATCGGCAGATAAAAGCAACTCGAAACATCCTGACAAAACTTACAAAAGTAACTTTTTTTTACAGATTAGCTCGTCATAATTACGTTCGGGCTTAGCTAGAAAGAATATATGATGTGTGCACGCGAACCATTTCTTGCATAACAGGTACACCGGAGCAATAAAGTAGCTTATACAATAGTCCCCGATACACAAGCAGCACCAGTCTGTATGTACATACTTCGTGCGTATATTTCGCTTCCGGTACAACTCACTTTAGCACGACTATCTACCAAAAGCTCCGAGCGTGAGCTGGGAACTCTTCATCCGGATGAGCACAGCGGAAACACTCAACAACTCGAACGCTGTGATCACAGCCCTCACTGCACCTCATCCAAACGTAAAACGGCATATAAACGCGTAAAAAACGAAGAAATGCATTTTCAAAAACATGAGCAATAGTGATTTGTACAAAAAATAACGCTCCCTGCCGCCGCACCACGCTCAAAAGATCACACCCAAACCGACATTCTTAAAAAAAAAAAAAAAATCACGACGGCATCACGCAACAACCCATGTACACAAAGTAACGCATTCCTAACTCGCACGCGGACATAATTTTGGACCAGCCCGTTGAGGGACACCGGCCCCGGCTTGAAATTGCATAGGCCGCACACCGAAGAAACTTTTCTCTGTGGAAGCTCCGACGTTGCTTTCTTTTTTTCTCGGCACTCCATCCTCGGACACTCAGTCACTACAGCACCAGCAACACAGGGCCATGCAGAGGGTGCAGAGACAGCAGTTCTTCCAGCAGTCGTCGTCTTTCTTCTTCTCGTGGACGACTCTAAAATGGAGAGGGGGAAACATTGAGGCTGCTGAAAACACCGGACGGAAAATGACCCCGCGCTCATTACGATGGCCTTAGCCCTTTAAAGACCATCTTTTTGCTCGTTCGCTGCGTCGCAAAGATTCTTTTTTTTTTAATACTCCCTATTTCCTTACGGTTGATGTCCGGAAACGCGACAAGCCATATCGGAGACAGTCCAATGACGTGTGTGTGTTCCGTATCACGTGACCTAGTCACGTGATACGTTCACAGCGCTGGATCGGTTGGAACGGCTGGAATCGCCCGCCGCGGTTCACCGTAAGGTGAAATGAAGTATAGTGAAAGCAACACACAAAAAAGTATACTAATAATAAACGTATACGCGTAATCGGCGCGAGGAGACTCTCCGAGGCTTCGCGACCTCGAACAAAATAGGCTGACTTTGAATAAGACCTGCGGTTAATTGTGTTATTCTTCCGACGTTTCACACCCAAGAGATACTCTTAGTAATCGTTTCTAAATCGAGAAAGTTACGAAATGCCTCTATTTCTTTTTTCTCCTCAAGTGGGAGACATGGACAAAAAGCGGCTGATGCAATGTGACAAGGTTGCGTCAGCACCTGATGCAACTTCACGTGCGCATTCGCCAACGGACAGCATCCAGGCTATAAAAACGTTGCAGAATTCTCGCCGAATCGAAGGTTTGTATAATATCAACGCAGCTTTGAGCGTGCGACTTAAGAAGAACGGAAAGATTAAATGGGCTCTTTAAAGTTAAACGAGGTTAGCGTAATTCTAAATAATAATAAAATAAGCTTCATATGTATTCTTTTTGAGCGAGACTCCATATTTATGTATGCGTGGTCTGGAAGGTTATAAGGGATTAATTGAGCACTTTATGTCGCTCTTCTGAAAGGGGAGCTTCATTTTAGTGTGCGCCTTTTTGTTGTAAGTCAGTCGAAGACTAAATAGCCTCCACAATACTTAAAAATATTATATGTGTGTTTTGTTCTTGAAGCATGGTGCCAGAGCTTAACAACGCGATCAAATTATAATTGCGCTAAGGCGTCGTATATTAACTAAGAATATCAAAGTCAAACAGAAAATAGGGGACCAGCGTAAAGGAACCTGTACTTCTGAATTTATCTTTCAATAGCTGATAAGCATTGTATATATATCCTCTCGAACATATGTATATCCTAAATTAATGTTAAGTTAGATGGAAAACTATATCCTTAAGTATAATTTTCACATTTATTTTTTTTTATCTTAGCATTCCAGGCCCTATGTAATGGAAGTAAGATTGCGCTTTCATATCGAGGAAGTACCTAAATATAACAAAACGTTGGACACACCTTTACGTGTTTTCATCCCTCAGAGGTGAACATCCATACACTGCAGTTGATGTTTCAGGGACCTTTGAGTGTATACTCAATATTAAAAAAAAAAAACATTAGGGCTGTTGAAATAATTTATTAGACCTTTATTTGATAACCCATGAACCCCGCTAATAAATTAATTAATTACTCCCTCACTAATTAGATGATTCACGGGTTTCATTTCCCCATCGTGGTGAAATTCAACGAAACATTTAGTCGCTGGAGGGACTTTTCTTTTTAGATATGCGTTTAGACGCCTGTTATTACTCTTTTGATTTTGTCGCAAGTTCGCTTTATGAAACACTTAGTTTCTTCGTGAGTTCCCGTCTCGCCAATCGTTCGGTGACACGAAACGCGAAATATAAAAATCGCCTCCCAAAGGTTTCAACGTTCTCGAATGGGGATAGGAGAAAATTGGTGAAGTAAAGGGAAGTTTACTGTAAGTTTAAAAGTTTAAAAAGCACTAGCGCCACGCCGCGTTATCAGTAATCTAGTCCTCAGTAATCTAGGAATTCTACTTCTGTCTTCGTCAGTGATAATGAAGGTGCCGAAATATTCTTGTTGACTGTCCCCACGGCAAATAATGATTCAATGATTTATGATAATGATTCAATGATTTATCTCCCAAATCTGTTTTTGTGCCTCCTCTTCCCCCTCATCAGTAATTTATTATCAGAGAAATAAGGAGCAGAATCATCGCATATGTGCGGCTATGAACGACGATTAGGTGAAAAGACTCATTTGAAGAGTTGGATGCTTCCAATTTGTGTTTTCTGAGTCGATAGTTAACGCATCTTCTAATTTGTCCGATATACTGACTCCAGCTGCTTAGTGGAATTAAATAAACCTGCACCCTCTGGGACTGTCGCTATCCTTTACCTTTCATACACATTTGCTTAAAGGAAAAAAAAAACACTCGTGTCGAACTTGGAGGCGATAAATCTTGAACGGTGCGCGTAATTGAGTATGTAAGGAATCACAGCGAAACGACCCTTCTTTGTGGCAATAGCTTGCGGAGGTTGTGGCTTGAGAATGAATCTCTCAAGGTTGGAACGAAGTAGGTCCGCAGGAAGCCCTGCCTTAATTAACATCTCATGCTGAAAGTTAGGGCTATTTTCGGAGAAATGCGTACACGACTTGGCGGAGGAGGACTTGAAAAGCGACCTCACTATGCCATGCTTAACTGATGGAATTAGCACTGGTGCAAGGGAGGACTGGTTTCTCCGATCTCTGCTAGAAGGCCCAAAAAAGACCTAAAGAATGAGGATGTAACCGTAAATCTAGGCATTGCAATCCTTCCGTTCAAAGATTTTCCTGCGTAAAAGTTAGTCCCGCTGCACAGTCTTTGAAAACTTCAGAGATGCTGTCAGCGGACACGTCTGAATAAATGACCAAGTAATCGCCAGCATATTTAAACACTAGACAAACCCCGAAAATACTTGTTCAACCAATTTTTGATAGCCTTGTCAACGAAAAGAAGAAAGATTGCACAACGGAAAAGTGCAAGCCAAGAACTCATACACACTCCCTTCTTTTGTCTCTACATCTTTCCTTCATAGTCAGCTAAAAGTGGACTGCAAATACATATGTATCAGGTCGATGAGGCCCTCAACCGAAACACCGGAGGAATTTTGAAAGTCGCGAACTCGGTGTCCATGGATCGCATTAGTCGCTCTGTCTGACACAGCGTCTCGGCTCTAACATGATGAATAACTCGGCCCCTGGTTGACAGCGTTCAGTAGCTTCTCAAGGTTATGCTTTCACCCGATTCGTCTTTAACCACATAACAAACGTCTAAATAATTTTTTTTTTGTTTTTTTTACAGTGAGAAGATGAATTACGTATCGCCGAAAGCCCCGACCACGGGCCCCGACTACGCCAGAATGATAGAAGAAAGAACCGGCTCACGCCAGATTCTAAATTTTCGAAACATATTCAACTCAAAATTTAAAAACAAACTTCCGGATTCTTTTTTTTTTTTTTTTTTTGCATTTTTGTTATGATACATTAAACTCGTTTCCAGAATCAATCATTCATCTTCATGTATTCGCGGGCTCTGCTGGTCGCCATTTTCTCATTTAAAACTTGTCGAAAATCGCTCATAAGTTTTTATTCAGGTAACGGTATAGGTTCTGAAACTTTGGCACCTGCTCCGAAACGCTCGAGCTACAGTCGAGTAGAACTCAACGTCCAGCAATGCATTTTATTTTTAACGCGAAAAACGCGGTTTTATTTTTTCTACGTACTCGGTATAAACAACACACGAGCACAAGCGCCGAGTGCTTCCCCATGCTCCCAACTGAGTGTAAACACGACCTTGCGTTCAATCGCCACATCCCTGCCAACACCCCCTAAAATAATCGAGGCCTCCGAACATGACCTCTTCATCCGTGGAACGTCGCCACAGTCGGATAGCGCCAACTCTGCCATCGGTCCCGAGCCCGACGCCGAGCCTCCTTCGACGCGCTGGTTGGAAACGAGGCCCAGCCGAACGCTGACGCAGCACTCGGTGTCCAATCGGTGTCATTGCTCGATCTCACCGTGGTGACGTCAAAATTCTAGTGCACAGGCTTTGATTATTCTAGGAGGAGTTGCCCCTACCCGTTCAGATCTGGATAAGCTTCGTACCGGCGTGCGAAAGCGTACCACTATTGCGTTATGCATGAAAGACCCCGGAATATAGCTGTGGTATTTTCTGCCGTGGCTAAATGTCTGAGACGCCAGACGCTGATTGGGGTTGCCTAAAGTCCCGCAGTCTGAACAAACGCGCAAAGACCATCTTGAAGCACTCACACTGTGGTGGTCTGTGGAGGTTGCGCCGTGACATAGGCTGGTTGCTGCTGCGGTGGGTAGTAGGGAGCGCCCTGCTGCGGCGGTGGGTAGTAGCCCGCCGGTGGCGCCTGGAACCCCGGCTGGGGCGGGTAGTAGGCGTTCGGCTGTTGTTGTCCGTAGCTCATCGCGACGTGGGTCCGAGCTCGCTGGGTCTAGTTCTGTGCGGAAGAGGAGAGTCGTTTAGAGCTACTCTTAGTGGTCATAAGGAACGAACTATGGCAAATTAAAAGGTCATTAACAAGATCTGACAAAAGTAGGATTTCGCGGTTCAGAAAAGCGAAAGCCGGAACACATTTCAAATCGCCATTTTAAACGGAATCAAGTTGTGGTTGACCACTTGGGTCACAATCACTAACGAAGGAATTTCGCTGCTTTCAACGAGTACGTGGCTAAACTACGTCATCACTTAGCACTCTCAGCAGCGAGTAACACAAACAAATAACAAAGAAATATTTTTTCGACAATGGAAGAAACACAAAAAAATGCATGTGATAACCACACGTTAATCTATATATATATATATATGTATATATGTATGTATTAACGTGTGATATATTAAATTAGGCTCCCAGAATGCCTCTTTTTTTCACTCTTTCGCGGTTATAGTTTGTTTACTGTCGTTTTTCCTAGGTGTGGCAAGCCTTGGCAAAGTGTGGCAACCACACCGCAACACCTGCGATGCAAATAGCCGAGTGACGCGTGGCACGCCCGAAAACAAAGGGAATTCGTCACGCTAGCCTGAATCCACGCCGCCTGACGGCTTCGCGAACGGAAGATTGCCAGCATCCGCCTGTATACGAGCTCCCAACATAACGGGCATAGCCCGTTCTAGGTCGCACGACAATCGCGCAGCTGCCCGCCAATGTCCGGTGTGCTTCCCAAAAGCGCGGTGGCGGCGCGGACGCGTTCCACGTGTGGGATTTGGTTATACATACACCGTCACTCGGTTCGGCGTGCGTAATAAACAGTTTTAGTATACTGTTGCTGGCTCTTATGTGTCAATTCGCAATGGCATTGCGTACCCTAGAAACGACCTGCTCGGACCGATTTTAGTTGTGCGTTACGGTTACCGTGTGAACACCTCCTGTGATCTTCGTTAAATTTGAAAGATTCCTAAAACTTTACGTGCCTATAGCGCCAGCGTGCCCCTCAAAAAAAAATATTGAAGATAAAAACGTTTCCAAACCATTTATTTCAAATTAAATCAAGCCGCAGCTGCCTGGTCACGCGCGCCTTTCTGCCGGGTACGGAGGCGAGCACGAGTGCGTAGCCAAATTCGATCACGGAGCCTCTGTCGATCGTCCCGTGCAGACGGCACCTTTCTTCAATGCTACCGCGGGAAGAAATTCATGACCTACTGATGTCCACTGCACAGCGACAACTTGGGCAATTTTCTTAAGAGTCGTTCGTCCGTCGGCGATGAATTGCGCGAAGACGCTGAGCGTCGATCAGATCGCAGGGTTCACGCAGATTGCCGAGCTGTTAATATTTTCTCTATCCTTCATCTGCACGGCGATCTAACTCGATGGCTTTAGGTCACGGAAAGAAATGCCGAGCTATTTCACGTCACAGTGAACTTCGCGAACACCACGTCGCTTTTGCTGCGCCAGTCGAGGGAACCGCCATCTTGAAATTAGGGCTTTCGCTGGGACCAAAATCTCTTGAGAGCTTCCCGCAAAGCCCGCTAGCCCGCAACGCAAAATCCCCAGCGCTGCTTGCGTACGAAATACGCTAGCCCTTCTAATGCGTTCTGCGCGTGCGCACTCCCGACCCGCAATACCTTTGCGCACGCAAAGCTTTAGCGTGCGGTCCACTGAAACTGTCTAATGATGTTTCGAACGTTAGACGCTAAACCAGATGGTTTTATGACCTCCGCTCACGCCGTTTAAGGCCCACGAGCAGTTGGAAACTAAGAAATTCTCCCTCGATTCTCCCTTTCCATTCGAGAAAAATGGGAAACCCTCCTCCTCTCTGCACGGAGTAGCGCAAAGACCAGAGCTGGCAGTAATGTAATTACTGTAATGAAATTACTGTAATTTAATTACTTGTTCCAGTAATTAGTAATGTAATTCATTACTTTTTGTAGCAGGTAATTTAGTAATGTAATGAATTACTCCAGCGACGGTAATTGTAATTAAATTACCTAATTACGTTTTCGCACCAGGCATATTTTTTGTCCACAATACACAAGAGCGCTTTTCTTTTTATTTTACATTTTCTTTTTCCTCTACACCTTTCCAAAAAACGCTCTTCGACCGCCGCTATGTTGCTGATGCTAATGCGGCTGGCGCGACTCTCGCGCCCGCTATCAGCTAGACATTTTTTGCCACTCTCTTGAACTGTGAAAACCCACTCAGCGCGATTCTCTACCTATGTTTTGCGGTTTTGCATTCGACGTTTTCTGGCCCCTCTTGAAAGTTTCCGCGTACTTTTTCTGATGCATGCTGCGTACCCTCTCTGTGTTATCTTCCACTGTGAGAAATAGGGCTGGTAAGTGCCTGCCATTCGAGCTTTTCTGCTCGACATTCTCGGGAAACGAAGGAGGGGAAGTAGGTCGAACTAAGGCCCCTGGTGGAACGGCCTCGACGCGATTTTGCGAACAATGACAATTGTTCTCCCCCCACCCAGCGATAATCCGCGTAGAATCCTCAGTCATCTCCAAAAATAGTTGTCCGGGTTGGGGTGGTAAACGTATCAATCGCGTGCGTTCCTCTGTCCATCGGTAAACATGCAACAGAGATTTCTAGCTGTGTGCCATGAACTGTGTAAATAATGTAAATGAAGTTATCTGTAAAAGGAAGTTATCAATACCTCCTTTATATTTAAAAGTATACAAAAGTAATGCGAAAGTAATGTCATTACTTTTAAAAGTAATTTGTAATGGTAATTAATTACTTTCTGGCTGTGGTAATTTGTAATGTAATTTAGTTACATTTCAGCAATTTTCAGCAAAGTAATTAGTAATGTAATGTAATTACAAAATATGAGTAATTTGGCCAGATCTGGCAAAGACTCGCTTTTGTGGAGAGCAGAGGGGAGAAGAGTGCCACAGGAAATGGAGAGGAGGAAACTGGTTTTCTTCCCAGCAGAAGACGATTCCGTAGGTCGGTTGTTTAACGTAAAGCCGCAGTTACACTGTTCGTATTTCATACAAAAGACACGATGTTCACTGAAGACGTGATGGCAGATTTATCTGCGGACACTCCTTGAGCATGTTCGAAGCATGTTTGCTTCATTTGCTTCCAAGACTGTTTTTTTGTAGGACCCATGTGACCATAATCTCAAGGAGGAAACGTGCTTCACACAGCGTCTGCAAAGCGTCTTGTGTTCGATGTAGCAGCAGTGGGACGGCTGCAAGGCTGGTTCACAGGTTTGCGTCCGAGTGTGATCGACTGGCGGTGCAGCCGCTTCCGACTCCTTACAATAAACAACGAGATGGTGCCAGCGTGCCAGCACTGGCGCCATCTATCAAGTATCCCTGAACTTTTCAAATCTCCGTAGCTATAGACTGGGGGTATTGGAGTATTTGCGGGATCAGATCTACGCACCATTTACGAGAAATGGTCGCTTTTAACATCGTAAAGTATTTCAAGCACACAGCGAGAGAATGGTGCGCAGATCGGAGATGTTCCGGAGCTGCGCGATAGGCGGCGCCGGTTTTCTCTGGTCGTAAGCATGTCACAAGCGGTTTCCGCGCTGTCGATCTCGCTCGAACAGCAACGTGAGAGTCAGCATTAAGCGTAATCGATTGATGTCCCACGCGTCATGAAGGCTTCTCGCGAGAGCCTCTCATGTCATGGGTCAAATTCTGCTATAAACTCGGGTAGATACGACGCTACCTTGGAAAGTAAATGTATTAACGCTAACAATCTTCCTATTTTTTTATATCTACAAGGAATGACCGCATTTCATCAATCGTACTTCTTTGCTGCAAAAATCGTCCTTGGATGACAAATTTAGCAACTGCGTTCAAAAGCTTACCTGAAATCTAAGCCTAAAGGGGAAAATAAATTTGTTGATACCAAGGTAACACATGATGATAGCTCAGGAGACGAACACTCGCGATGATATATGTGTACTGTTTATTTTTTGGCGCCTCAACTTCGTCAATGAATAGCGAAACGCATTCAACTAAACGTTTACACCGTTATCGTTATTCAGAGAGCAAGTCGTCTGCTTCCTGCGCAGAAGCTGCGGTGACGTCAGAGAGACGCCGAGTTCCGATTGGCATTCATTGAAAGGATAGTGGGCAAAGCAAGCTGCCTCGTGGTCTACCCACTATCCTTCGATCGAAGCCAATGAGAGCTCGGCGTCTCTCTGACGTCTTCACGACCCCTGCAAAAGAAGCAGACGAACTTGCGCTGCGCTTACCTTTATACAGAGCAGGAAATCAATGGAGAGACCTTTCTCCTGGCTCAAAACCAACGAATAACAACGGAAGAAACTACGGGAATAACGCGCATGCTTTTCTGAAACGAAAGCCTTCTTAAAATTTCATTTACTGGTTATTCCACAGTAGATATGTTAATTATGTAAAATCCCCACGATGGGGAAGATAAAACCAGAGAATTACTTCCATCTGAAATGGAGCGCGTCCCGCGCCCCCTAGAGAGTACGAGATGCGCCACATTTCAGGTGGAAGTCAATTTATTCTTGCGTATTCCACAATATCTATTCCTGAGAAATCTTTTGCCAACTCGGTAACAACTTGAAGCCCAGCGCAGGGTGCGCAGAACACTTACGTCAACAGGCACGGCCAGTCAGACTTCGCTATCAAAAAGTACATGCGTACTGATGTTCGCTGCCGACACGCAGCTTCAGCCATCAGAATTGTCATTCGTAAAATACCTACACGGAAGACACAAACCAGCACGACAGGCGTCTGATGCTCCAGCTGCTTTCTGCTCTGCGTGTCAAGTCGACAGTCCCGCAACGACCTTGGAGCGTGAAGACGGCATCAAACAAACCTCCGTGCAGGTTGTTATTGTTGCTTCTTGCCATTTTTCCGGGTGCGTGTAAGCGATTCTTTATTGTTGTTTTCAGTGTTGCACAATAAGGTATAGTCCTTTAAATCTTACGATGGACCGTAGGCGACGCTAGGAGCCATCGAAGCCAATACAATGCCGCGTGAGTACCACGTGACCTTTGGGAGCGGGAG